GGTGCTTTGACTTTTCCTTGTTTTAAAACAAACTCATAGAGGAACGCGCGAAGCAGATATTCGGCCCCAACACCTCGTTGATTTGGCTTGAATCCAAAATACTGCCACACCGGAGAATCGAGATGTGTAGGTTTTGTAACTAGAGATGTCCCGATCCGATCACGTGATCGGGGATCGGAGCCGATCACGTGATTTTCAAAAGATCGGAATCGGGAGAAAAAAATCAGGGATCGGGATTTTATTTTTTTATAAATACTTTTTTTAAATTTTGTATTCAATGTTACAAAACAAAAATGACCATGTTCAATTCTTAAAGTCATCCTGAGGCCTTAGTTTTGGTTTCAAATTACACAACATCATGTATGTGTTGCTTCTTTGGGGCTTGTTTTCATAGACCCGGTTGCTTATTTCTCTCAAATCTGGCAACAGAGTGGGCAGGGCGCAGTGTCTAATTGTAGCAGTAAGCTAACGAGTACTGAAAGCTTTATTTTGTTTTGATCCAATGCTGCTGTGAAAAAAAGAAGCTATATCCATGTTGGATAGAATATCCAATTTAAATAAAAAAATAACCTTAAGGGACAACTTGAATGCTTTTTTTCTTTTTTTTCTCTTAATGCATTGCATAAAGATCGGATCGGGAAAAATCGGTATCGGCAAATTGTCAAAATCAAATGATCGGAATCGGATCGGGAGCAAAAAAAGGTGATCGGGACATCCCTAACTCCGACTGAACCAAAAGCCAGCTGACAAAACTGCTCTACAAGAGGCTCCATTGGTGTTTTAAGTCGGACCTACTAATAAACAGTATAGTGTCATCTGTATATTGAATGAGTTTTACCAACAGCAAAACATCCTTTATAGGCCAAGAATATAAAAATATGTTGCATATGAGAATGTGTCTTTATTAATTATGTTGTAAATACACAAGTATTCCATAAACCAAGCCAATATTAGCCTGAAAGTTTGATTATTTCTCCATATGTTTCCTGCCTTTCCACATTAATGCTCTACATTCATCCGACGTGTGCAGCCATTCAGCCCAGCTCCCCACCCGCCAGTCCAATAATGAATCCTAATCAATGTGACTAATGTCTCTTTTCACCACTTGGACAAATATTAGTCCAAAAGCAGCAGTTAAAGTGCAATTATACCTCCCCTCGCCCCCTTTGTTTTCTCATTCAACACAGTGTGTCAACCACGCCAAATAAGCTACAATATAAGACCAGAGGATGTTGACCTAATGAGACCCAAAGCCTCTCTACTCTTACTGATAAAACAGAGGCAGGATCGCCAGCTTTACACTCACACTCCTATTCTGCAAAGACAAAGAGCGATTATGAGCGAGGGAGAAGAGAGACTTTCCGTCTGTCTTTTTCCCTTTCCCTTTCCCCCCCCCCTGCCCCAATTTTTTTTATGAAGGGCAGTTTATTCAAGATGTCACAGCTGCATGCATCTTAGTCGAAGCGTTCAGGAGGGTCACGGCTTTGTGACCGTGAGTGTGTGTGTGTGTGTGTGTGTGTGTGTGTGTGTGTGTGTGTGTGTGTC